AGTGTTCGATTCTTCCACTGATGCTTAGTTCAAATACTGTCAGTTCGTTAGAACAAGAATTTTTGTGCGTTTTTCCATAACTTAACCCTATTAGTGGCAGGGGGGTTGTTTTTATCCACCCCTCAGGTTTTTCGGGAATATCTCCGAAACCGCTGAAGCTACGATGCTGAAATTTTCTGACTTTTCCTAAAACTAAATTGGGCACATTCCCTGAAAATTTCAAGTTCATAACTTTACCAGGGGCGGCTCCAGAGCACTGGGAATTGGGGGGTCCTATTCGTGAAGCGAGTCATTTGGGCGAAGATCACGATGCTGCACCAGTTTTACGAACAGTGAATGAAAGATATCATGTGATAACATATACAAAGTTATTGTGCATCCTCTTTTGACACGTTTTTGCTATAATAGGCGGATCCAGGCGTCCAAAAAGGGGGGTTATTTTTTACCTCCCAACATAGGTGCTCTGACACCGCCTATGCATGACCAATACAATTTTAGTCGTTCTCTCATAAGAAAATTGTAACATAACAAGACCATTGCCAGTTGCCACCCTTTTTAGAAACAGTACCAACAAAAACCTTATTCACTATACTTTTTGTGTACCCCCAATCTCAATGATCTGTATCCGCCTATGATTTTTGATAATGCATATTTTTAGGATCCATGTGAATTCCTGGTTCATTCTCTATCGATCGGCAAAAGTTGCGTTAAGATTGGTTCAGAAACCTGGCCGTGATAAACAGTATAAAATGTATCTGCAATTTGCCCGTTTTTACCCCCTCTACCCCCCTATTGACATTTTATAGTTTTATTTTTTTTTTAGAAATGTAGATCTCGTTGAACCAAATCGAATGCCGTTTGAATTTTGAAAATCGGCCGGTTGGATCTCGAGATATCAAAGGGGGTCGTAAACAGCCCCCCCCCCCTGCCACTAATATGGGGTAGCCAGGAGCCTGCCACTAATAGGGTTAAAACAACTTTGCAATAGTAGTCCCTAGGTGAGATGTTATTGAGCATTTATCCAACATAATGGCGGAAAAATCAACACATGAAATAAACTAGTAACTAGCACAACTAACATTAGTGAAAAGACATATTCCATGGAAATTTTAGACACACAATTGTAAAGCATTTTGCACTTCAAGCTGGGTGACAATTTTTCTTCGCGTTGCTGTTTTGCAGTGCGGCCAGCGCTCAGCTGCCTCACATCCACCCGGGCTCCCATTGGTCGGGCGCCTACAGCGCCCCGCCCACCCCCACCCCGGGAGCTGGCAGCCAATCATCTGTCACCACCCTGCCCCGGCTCTAGGTCAAGGCCGCCGCTCGACCAATCACCGCACGATACCCGCGGAGCGCGACCAATCAAACGCCAGCTCTCATGATGGCGCCACACACGCTTTTAGAAATGTCTCGTGGAGTGGAGGCATGGTTTGCGCTTGGCGTGTGTAAAGTGCACCCGGCTGTAGTTCACGTTTGCTGTGTTGCTTCTCAGGCAGATGCAAATAGCTGTCGATTTTGCTGACGATGATTTTCCGATCTTGGGAAGTCAGTAAAACTTGCATTTTTCTTCTCGAATGACCTGACTGCTAAGAGCTATCAAGTGCGGATATATTTGTGCTGCTTAGGTGGAGCCTTGTGAATGCGTGATATTTTAAATTCAGAGCACAAACGCTATATTTTGAGTGAACTGTAAATGCAGAAGGCGATGAATATCAAGTTATACTTATCAGATGGATTAGACTTGTAGCTGACACCCTGAGGTCTGAGGAGAAGAATAAAAGAAAAGAATGAACGGCATCATATTGAATCTTCATATTCTTCTTTTTATTGGATGAAACATAGATGGTTGACTGAAAAGGTGAAAAAATTAAAGTGGCATATTTACTGATTCATTATTGAGATGTAATACCTTTAAACACAAACAACGACGGTTTTAACTATTATTGATAGCTCTATTCATTCCTGGGAAGAACTTCATTATGAATATGTTTTTTGTTTTCATGATTGGCTGCCAGCGCCCGTCCTTGCCACAATATTTATAGTCACCGTGGCCACAGTAACATTCAAGACATTCACGTATCGTTGCCAACTAGCCTATGCTTTTGGAACATTTACAAAAGTTTTGCAACATGCCTGAACATACTCATAGTTTCAGCCTTGTAGCAAGAATAAAAAATATGGATTGTGGCAATGCATTACACACCATGGCCAACATGAACTCTACGTACAGTGTAAACTAGCTTATTGAATAATCAAAAAGTTGTAAAATAGCTTTTGTTTTAGTTATAGTTGACTAATTTTTGTACACCGTTGCTATGGCGTATAACAATGATCACATGATATCTAATGTAGTTATTTGTACGTGCTCGAATTTTCGTTTTCGACAATCGATTGATCCTTGCTTGATCCGTGTACATTTTAGTAGTTGAGCTTCATTGAATTATATTATTCGCTTTTGCTCTGCATTTTTTATATTCAATGTTTATGATCTCTTTATTTTGATCATTCACTTTTTTCACAAAATTGTAGTTTGCTTATTTTGCATGCTGTGACATATATTTTTCTTCGATTCGGCATACAATGTTCTCCCTTTCTTTATCCTTCATCCAACATTATTCGGCTTTAGTCTGGCCTGTATCCTCTTCTATCCATCTCACTAAACGTGCTCGACGTCATCACTCATCTGACGTCATGTCCATCTACCGCAACTCTTCGGCTAACATCTGATGACATCATCTGCTGTCATCAACGTCACGTCATCCGTCATTGACGTCACACGTCACATCTCGTCTGATGTCATAATCGTGTCTACTCTGACGTCCTGCTTCAACTCATCTGACGTCATACTCCAACCCATCTGACGTCACACATCACCTCTCATCCGACATCACTCGCCTGCTCTACCCTTGGCGCGGTGCTCTCGTCAGTTCTCTGCCTGGTTCAGCCGCCTCACCAGTCCGTCTGCCTCCAATACGTGTGACGGGGACGTCAGAACACAGGCCGTCATCGAGTCCGTCCGTTAGACCGGATGTCAGTGCAGCGTCGGTCGTCGCGACGAGGCGGAGGTGAGAGAGGAGGGAGGATGGGAGGAGGGAGAGAGGGAGAGGGAGATAAAAGGAAGGGGAAGGGAGGGAAGGGAGGGAGGAAGGGGGAAGGAGCGGGAAGGGACGCATAGAGTGGAGAGAGTGAGGGGAGGGAGAGGGGAGAGAGAGAGAGAGAGGGAGAGGTGGAGAGAGAGAGAGAGAGGGAGAGATGGAGAGAGAGAGAGAGAGAGAGAGAGAGAGAGAGAGAGAGAGAGAGAGAGAGAGAGAGGGAGAGAGAGTGAGAGTAGTGGGAGGGAAGGAGAAGGGAGAGAGGTGGAATGATAGATAAATAGACAACTTGCTTCACTCATAGTTTGAAAATTCGATTTACTATCAGGTCTTATGTACTTTGAATGACTCTTAGGCGTACCGAAGAACGATTTTTTGTATATAGCATAACATTTCTCGAGGAAAAGATGCTAGCACGAACAAACAGTGAGCCTCTGTCATATATTTGCAGGGAATCGCTGAAGCACTGGGGGAGCCAGGGTGACCTGGACACAGCCTCCATGAGCCGACGGTCATCCCTCCTGTTAGACCTTCGTGAACATGACCGACGCAACAGGTCAGGGACAGGTCAATGACCCTTAAAACGGGTCAATTTTAGGTCAATGACCGCTACAACGGGTCAGTTTTAGGTCAATGACTCAGTTTTCATGCTAACTTGCTTTTGAAGCAGCTCCATAATGTAACGTTATGGAAATGATCCATTTAGCCAGCGTTTCAGTACCGGTGTTTGGAACGTTTCTGTTTAGCTGATGACGTCAAATGTGCGTCAATGACAATAGTACCACCTTTCCTAATGGCAATGTGAATTCATAGCAGCTGTTACCACTGGGGTCCACTCCCAGGGCGTGAGAATTGAAAAAGACGTGCAGTCCACTGAATGGTTAACTGAAAGGATGTAGGAAGTCAATGGCATGCATTCAACACCGGGGGTAGCTAAAAACATTGTAACGATCGTTTGAGAATTGTTGACATGCATTGATATTTTGTGGGCATTGCATTCATCGAAGTACACAAATCTTCCCTGAACCACACTCAATAAATAACCGAAAATTCCCCGGCAAAGCTCTGCTCCCGAAGATAACGTCTGCCTTCGATATATGACACCATTACTCATTGATTCGAATGACGATCCTCTGGCGTCATTTAATGACGTCATATCCACAGACGCAAACAGTCTCGAGTGCAGACCGATGATGAGTTCGACCCCAGCCATCTACCGACAGTCAGCAAAACGAAAACCAGGTCGACGCGGAGAAGGACGTCGCTCTCGACACGAGAGAACAGCGTCAAAACATGTCAGTGATGTGGCGGGCGATAGGTCATTTGACAGTTATTCTGACGTTCATCCGTCCTATCCGATGAAATACTTCGATATTGTTTGACAATATGTTTATTAATGTTACGATTAATAAATGTTTAAAGAGTAAAACTTGAATGATTTTATTTTTGTGTAGAGGTTATAAACCATAAATATTAATTGCTTGGGCAGATTATCTTATATTCTAGTATTGTACCGTTTCATTAGCCTATCGCACTTGGGTTTATTGTCTGAGCTAGTGATGTTATGATGGGTTTATATTTGATTCAGACTTCTTACATGTATTTTCACCAATCTACATTCAACCCAGCAGTCCATCAATAGCAAGAGGACCGACATTCGCCCACATGTTTTACCCATCTCTTTGCAACTATATTTACTGCCTGTTTTTTTTTCGTTGCGTTTCAGTACCATCTGTGAAGAACAGCCGCCTCTCTCGACGCCAGAGTACACAGCAGCGACGCTCAAAGTCGGAGGACCGCCAGAGAAAACAGTCCATCGTCAGCTTCACACTCGGGCGCTAGGGACTGAGGGTCGTACGCCGTCAATAAGATGGTTCTTTCTTCTATCCAGGGCTGACTTTACTTGGATTGATCTCTTGAGACTTGACTGGAACTTATGGTGGTGAAATATCAAACATTTCCCATCCAGAACTGTTTTTGCAAGATATTCTGGAGTATTTCAGCGTTTTTTCTTGACATGTATCATTTTACAGGCTGTTATGGTTTTATATTTGACCCGTCAAGGAGAATTGGCGATGTTTTGAAATTCAGAACTGTTTCCACTTAGCAGTTTATCGTAATCCTACAGTATTGCGCGCTGATATGTATATAATATGCCTTTCTCTAGCCAGTATTACCGCTGTCCCTTATAATCACATCGAACACCAAAGCTTGGTGTTAGCAGTTGGGCCGATATTGTTCTCTAAAAATATTTCGTGATTCATGACGAGGAGGTGTAAAACGACTAGCATTTAGAAGGCAATGCAATTCTTAAATCTTAATTTGCACAGGAGACATAACTTTGTTGAAGTGTATGCTGTATATTTTCCAACGATCGTGGCCTTTGAAGAATGCATTACATGACTGAATCAACGTTTATTGTTATAGATAAACTCTGTAGAAGAAAACGGTATTTACTCGTAGAACGAACAGAGTGTGCCATATTGAGGAGTAAGCCCTGCTTAGCTCGGTAGGCAGACGTCTGTGAAGTCCTTGCGATGACGTTAGAAGTGCTATGGTCTCGTGAAGCCGGCTTGCTGGCTGCCAATGTTTGAATAACAAGCTGGTGAGTGCTGTGATGTCTGCATACGCTGATGCCGTTAATTCTCGAAGTTTAACCCCATTAATAACGGTGTTCATTTCATTAATTTACTACTGCTCTTTTTTAAGTAAATATCATACCAGTAAAACGCCTTTTGGGCGAAGAACGAGCGAGCGAGGTAGTAAGCCCTGCACGTGCGGAAGGGCGAGAGGGTGCTTCCAATGGGCTTGTGCAAAGCACCCTTCTAACCGGTCGCTAGCGGTGTGCCAAATTTAAACGCAATCGGCCCAGCCGTTCCTGAGATCTGGAAGCGGCATTTTGCACGTGCGCACGTGCAAACGGGGTCCAAAATGACTTTTGCACGGCACCCTACTAACTGGTCCCCAACCGTGTACCAAATTTGAGCGCAATCGGCCCAGCCGTTCTCGAGATCTGGAAACGCCCCCTGCACGTGCGCACGTGCAGTAGCACCCTAACCGCAACACATGGGAATGCATTGCCTGGTGGGTGCCTACCTGTATGCCAAGTTTCAGCGAAATCGCCCCAGTAATTACCGAGTTACTGAAATGGGAACAAATTTGGCACCTCTTATTGTTGTATTTTGCACGTGCACTGGGGGTGACCCACATACATCGAGAGTATCCTATTTTGGGTAGAAGGGATGCTGCTACCCTACAAAAATTACCGCAAGTCAATCGCCCAAGCGGCTGCTGAGATATGAGCCTCTCAAAATCACTACTTTTGCAAAACAGCTTGAACACCCTTGACTTTTCACGTGGCACGTACCACGACGGTCACTGAGATGCATCAAAAGTAGTCAATTACGGGGTAGAAGGGATGGGGCTACCCAACAAAAAAGACCGCAGGCTAATTGGTCCAGCGGTTGCTGAGATATAAGCCTCTCAAAAGCGTTACAGGCCGGGCCGGGCCGGGCCGGGCCGGGCCGGGCCGGGCCGGGCCGGGCCGGGCCGCTCATACTGAGATTTTTCCGTTATATTGAAAAGACTCACTTCGCTCGCTGCGCTCGCTCGCTCGTAATTATCGTTACTTTTGTAGACAAATGGAACAAGGCCATTTTGTGCCTGTTATCCCTAGCAAACATCGGTGGAACTTCGTGCCGAGCTGGGGGTGCCTTGGCGCAGCAAATTCGCCTCCAACCTAGTGTTAACCTTGACCTCCGCCGTTTGCTGCGGCTCCTAAGTCAAGCCGGCGTGGAATCGGGAGAGCTCGGACACTCCTAGCTGGGCACAAACCTCCACCTATGCTTGCAAACGTTATAGGTGATAACTGATAATGATATATTTGTTGCTCACCTAATGTCATTGCACAACTGTTTGGTGTTCTATGAACAGTATTGGTGGTTTTTGAGCCAGCGGAACCAGCTAAAAGACTGCAGTTTGTCTGAGTTTCTCCACATACTGCAGCTAATCCAAGTGTGGTTTGCCGTTCTGACCCTGCTTGTGATTGGTCGCCAAGGAGCATTGAGCGACGACGATTCTAATAAATGGAGAAAAAAAAAACAGGAAAATGCTTGTATTCTAGTTTTGTCCGTGGGGTGGCGTGTGGTATGGTGTTGATCTGTATAGTCTGTCTTCGGCGAAACGACCCTATCTGTTTGAACACTTGAACTATCGACTCTAGGTTCTGCCGTCTACTCAGACAATTCAATTTGGTGGGTACTGGACACGTTTCTTCCCAGCTGTTGCATCAGCCACAAATCAACTGCCATTCACCTCTGCCTGTGGGCTATTTTCGGCCACACCATCTCCCCTAGCAACAGCCGGCTGGTGGATTCTCTTTCTAGATCGTCCTGCCGTGCTTGGGACGACCAATCGGCAACAAGAACAGAGCTATTCCCGGGCGAGCCATTCCAATTACAGTGCCGTTCTCATCGGTGAAGGAGCAGGGAAAGACGAGAGATTGGCGTGGGTAGGCATGGGTTTGGGAGAGGAGCGAGTGATTAACCCGGCAGTTGCTGGGGTATTTCGCCACCCACCGTTTGCTGGGGGGGGGGGGGCGTTAAACGCCCCCAGCCGATAACTCGAGAACCAATAGGCGCAGCGAAACGCACGAGGCGGCAAACGAAAGAGCGCGACGAGACGCTTCAGATGAGCACTTCAAAGTTGAATTTTGAGGTCACAGGTCGGGTCAAGGTCAGGTCAAACACCTGAAATCGGGCTTTCAGTAGCATCGACTTCAGGACTTCGCAATGGGCGCCTCTCGTCAGTAACTCTGTCAAAACGGTGCACAATCCATCATATAAGGCCTACAAGAGTGTCAGCTCCATGTAGGGGTCAGTCAAGCAGAGGTCAGGGTCAAGGTCAGGTCAACCGGGTAGGCACATATCCCCGAAAATCAAAACTGATATTCGCAGCCCGTGACACATGTTTTATGGGTAATTTGGGGCGTAGAGCACGATGGTTACATTCATTTTATCATATGTGTACGTGTTTGGCTCAAAAAGTTCAATTTAAGAAATGCATGTATCATGGTCGTGAAGTAGTCACGAGAAATTGCCAAGATTCAGTTCAAGATTTTGGAAAATGCGGAACGATAATCAATAATCGAAGATAGCCATTTGATTGTTTATGGTATTGGCAGTCTAACAGCGTTTACGGCATGTCTGTATGTCTATTCTGTGATTTTATATGATTTTTTGAACATATACCGTTTTTGGTCGAAAACTCAGAAATCATGACGTCACAAAAACCTCGATATCTCAAAAAATTTCTGACCGATTTTTTTGAAACTTTGTCACAATAAACTACAATCAATTCCCTACAGGTAGCCAAAATTTGGCGCGCCTGCGGCGCGCCGTTTTTATGCTATGGCCCGGCGAAAAAAGTGGGGGCGTTTAACGCCCCCCCAGAGCAACTCGCGGGTTAACCCGCGCCCAGCTGGGGGTCCTGGATTTCCACGCCCTGCTGGGGGGGGGGGGGTGTTTGAACACCCCCCCTTCTATCTCGGCTCCTGGGCCACGTAGCGATACGCGGAAGGCGGCGTTCGAAAGAGCGTCAAAAATAATGAGGAAATCACTTCGGTCAATTTTTTGGTCAGGTCAAAGGTCAGGTCACCAGAGGTCATTGAAGGCAAAATTTCGCCGATTTCCAGGTCGAATGTCGACAATTTCCAAGAAGCCAACGCACAACTTGGGAACCAATAGAGCTACAGCGCCGCGGAAAAGCGCATTCGATAGCCCTATTAACGCCCTTTCTGAGTAATTCTCTCAGATTTGACCTAACGTCAACGGTTTTGCCTGCAGGGGGCAAAAACTGCAAAAATAGCCAATTTTTTCGGAAACAGTTTTTCTGCAATAACTTTTGACCCAAGCCTTGTACGAGCTTACTTTTACCGGCATCGTGTTCCTCTCGTCAAGACGCATCGAATGAACTATAACTTGACCTTGAAAGGTCAACTTCAAAATTTGACCTCAGGTCAAGGTCATGACCTGACCGGAAAGGGTCATGTTGCATATCAGTCGATCCGTATCGTCGAGCTGAACACATCTAAGGCGTTTTCATCGCTCTAGCATGCCTCTATCAAAAGTTATTTGCGAAAAACTGTTAGATACTATTCGTGACCTAAGATGACCTCAGGGCATAAACAGGGGGTCACGGACACCATTTCTATGTTCAGTGTGTCTAAACCACTTGTAATTCAGTGTTTGGGAGTGTTTATAATGTCTTTCGTCGAAAAGAGGCGCATTTCAATTTTCTCCCATTGACTTATAATGGGGAGGTCGCAAAATTGACCTGACCTTAGGTCATCGATATCAAAATTCTGAGATATACATTTTGTACATGCTATTGCTCTTAGCAATCGCTGAAAGTTTCAAAGCGATCGGTCACTTGGTGTAGCTATGACAGACATTGAAACTTTTTATGAGGTGAGGTCACTTCAAGTGACCTGGTGACCTGACCTTGAATGACCTTGGTCTGAAATTTTCACAACATGTGTAGAATTGATGTATGATAAGGTGTACCAAAAACGGCGGCGCTCCGCGCCGCCGTTTTTGAGATATTCGCGAAAAACCACAAGGGGGGGTGTTCAAACACCCCCCCCCCCCCAGCAGGGCGCGGGTTAAAAACATGATCAGCGTCTGCTGGTTTTGCAAGCTTGTCGAAGTGTTGCGTCGTCATCAATGATACGTACTTAAACATATAAAAAACGTAGGAATATGCGCACTGTTTTTACTATTATTGTTTCCCTCTCTTTCGTTTTCTTCCCCCTCTCTCTCTCTCTCTCTTTCTCTCTCTCTCTCTCTCTCTCTCTCTCTCTCTCTCTCTGTCTCTCTCTTTCCCTCTTTCTCTCTCATTCTTGTGAATGC